CATTTGCTACTCTTGTAAAGGATACATCTAGCATTAGGAAGGAAAGGCACTTGGTGAAACGAAGAAAGGTTTTCTGTTTAAATAATTGCTAATAAGCAAGAAACACAATATTGCTAGAAGCTCAAATAGTCACTGCTGAGATCTTTGGTGGTTATACCTGATACAGAAGTTCATTTTCCACTTCAAACATAGTTTATAGAATCTTCTTTTCCTAGCGAGTAACTTATTTATCAAACTGAAGGCTCTTTTGTAGGCAACAAAACAGTACTACGATAGTGTACCTGACATCAACACAAAATCTAACCTGCACCAGCTGGGAACTATACTAAATGATATATGTCTCTCAAAGTGGAAAACTGTTACAGATTTTTACTCACCCTGTGTATGACCTCTTCATTTACAATGGAGGAACAATTGATTATCTGCAGCTATCAATCAGTAGGGAGAACAGCACGAACAACTGCTACAAGAAGAGCTGTACATTATCATCAACAGAGGGAAACTTTTCCTCCCTTGCTAGCTTGCATCTTCAACTCTTAGGTTAAAAGTAAATTATGGCTTTAAATTGTGATATGAGGCCAACTTCTGAACAAACTACACAATTTTCAGAAGTAATTCTGAGGTAATTATTGGGTAAATAGTGTAAAATAATTAAATACTATCTAATGATACAAAATATTAAGTGTATGCTTTGTAAAGTAACTCTAATATATCTTTTTTCGCGTACTTAAAATAAAAAGGATCCCACACACAAATTCTGAGCTTATCCTATGGGAGACAGCCTTACATTCCATCTGCCATAACTCATGAAACATGGAAAATATCTCTACTGGAACTAAACTTCAAGAAATTTATGACCCTATACAGTGTTATATCTTTGTGAAGCCGAGCCATGTGTTGTAGATTTATAATTTTATTACTCACTTGTCTTGCTTATTTACAATACTGGGATGAATGACATTATAAGATAAGAACAAACTAAACTGTAACATCATCTATCAATTGACACCACCCCAAATCCAATTATCTGGTTATTCATCAACATTTCTGTTAGCAAGACTGGCTGCTATAGAACAGCAGTGAATGCATTTTAGAAGAAAATCACCTTGGGTATGAAGCATTATAGGAGATATTGTGACATACAATAATGCATTTTATAAATGGATTGTTCTCCTGATTTGAATAACAACTTAGTTCTACTTACAGTAGAAGTTGCTGCAAGTTGTTGGATAAACATATGCTCCTAGTATTGAAATCTCGGGCCACAAAATTCTTGCAGTTGTTTAACAGTAAAGTCACATCAGCTATTTTTCTCCACTAAATAATACTGTTGTTGTCTGGTGTTACAGTATTTTTCTTTTCTTCAGTTCATCTGCTGAACTGCATCAGTTGTGAACGGTAATGAGAGCATACATTTATACTTCTCAAGAATTTAAATGGATAGCGCGAACAGGATAAATCATAATGGTACTAGTTAAGGGTATAAAAGCAAAGGCTTTAATTATGTTTTTAATTTGAAAAAATGAATTTTCTTTGGTGCTACCTTCTGTCAAATTACATATCTTCTCCCGACCCAGGATGCAGAGGATGCAGTATTCCTTTCTAAACTGGTCTGCAACAAATTAAATTCTGTCCTCACACTTGTCAAGAATTGTGTGTTCCAGAAGATACTTCGAAAAATTTAAATGGGACACTGCCCGTTACTTGTGAGATTTATGTAACTGAACTGTGACAGCAGTAAAACAGCTGGAAATGTGAGAAATACCTGTGCATATTTCTAATAAATGGTATCCCTATGAAAACAGTACTGATGATTCAGTCTGTGTTTGAAAATCTCATGGCATTATTTCCAGCACTGTATAAATAGGTCAAAGCACTATCATGTTTCAACATATGGATTACACTGTCAGTTTTATTGTTGTAGATAAATGTGTGGTAAGTAATGGAAAGCTCTTATAGTACTTGTGTTACACAATATGGTAAGCTACTTCAACGCAAAGTTAAAATATCACAATTTCTACTGGTAAAAATTTAAATAGGTTGTACTTGTACAGCCCAAGGCTTTTGGTATCATGTTGCTTGGCCTACATGAGCAATAACCTACTGAATGTTGGGACTTAATAGCTCAGTCCAAATGTATTCTACCCAGTTTATAAACACACAACTCACACACACACACCACAGGCCATCACAACAGACAAGCACAACACCACACACAATTCACACAACCCAACCATCCATTTATTTCAAACTGAGATCACTGCATAGTGACCTGGAGTTGTAACCCGACGTGGTTTGTTCTCTTCTGAAGATGCTAAGGCCAACTGAAAATCTTTAACAGTATTCCTTGCTCAAATTGTTCAAAAAGAAACTCTGACCAAAAGTCAAATCGGGGACGTGTTTAGTTGTTGCATCTCACTTTTATGTCTCTTTACTGTCTTGTCAATAATGTGTGCGAGTTGGTTGGATGGCTGGTTTGTGATGCAGAGTGATGCCAATTCCACACCAGCTGAGGTTATCATGAAGGACTCTCCTTCCCAACCTCTCCCCTCGCTGAGTTGTGGTGACCCTCAGGTTAAACCATCTCCTGTCGCCTTTCTTGAAGCAGCCCCATCATATGGTTAGTCTATGGCAACTCTTACCTTCTTTTTGTTTCAGAAGTTGAAAAATGTATTCGAGTCACTAAACACATTTTGAATCTTTCCGTACATTTTTAACATCTTACTTATGGTGAGCCCTTGCTGCAGGTTTTCCAATGTGTTCAGAGTTAGAGTACTACATGACAACTTAAACAATGTAGTTTCAAAATTCATCATCCCTCCTACAAAGGAAAGTTCTCTGAGTATTATGACAACATATTCCTGTGAGACCCCCATCTCAATGCTTTGGCATCTACCTTCTATTCCAGATTATGGTTCATTTTTATTTCTTCCTCTGAAATTATATTTCATAATCTTGCTGCCGGTCCAGATCTCTCCGCATCTCAGAACCCCTCAAAACCTAACTCTGCCATAATACTTTCTTCTTATTTTTACTCTGTCTAATCCACTGCTTCACAAATCTATTTATAACATTCACTATCCTAAAGATGCCACACAGGTTTTCGTTGCTCCTAAGTAGATACAAATTGTCAATTTAATTAAGAAAGATCATGGTATTTGCCTAGAGAGTGGGCACAAGAAAAGCTTCTCTAATGCAGCGGCAGTGTGCTATAGTGATATATACTTCAACATGGTATACAAAACTCTATTCTGCATCAAACTGTGCACTTTTGTAACATGATGCTGGGCATCAATAATAGAAAGTAAATCTTATGCGACTGTTCCAACTCTTTATAAAATGATCTTTAATCTTGAGTTATGCTCTTCTTTCCATGTTACGTAAATTATTTCCCCTGGATAATGACTTCCAGTAAATTCACTGACAAGATAGAACATAGAACATTACAGCGCAGTACAGGCCCTTCGGCCCTCGATGTTGCGCCGACCTGTGAAACCAATCTGAAGCCTATCTAACCTACACTATTCCATTATCATCCATATGTTTATCCAATGACCATTTAAATGCCCTTAAAGTTGGCGAGTCTACTACTTTTGCAGGCAGGGCATTCCACGCCCTTACTACTCTCTGAGTAAAGAACCTACCTCTGACATCTGTCCTATATCTATCATCCTTCAATTTAAAGCTATGTCCCCTCGTGCTAGCCATCACCATCCAAGGAAAAAGGCTCTCACTGTCCACCCTATCTAATCCTCTGATCATCTTGTATGTCTCTATTAAGTCACCTCTTAACCTTCTTCTCTCTAACAAAAACAGCCTCAAGTCCCTCAGCCTTTCCTCATAAGACCTTCCCTCCATACCAGACAACATCCTGGTAAATCTCCTCTGCACCTCTTCCAATGCTTCCACATCCTTCCTATAATGCGGTGACCAGAACTGTACGCAATACTCTTAAGTGCGGCCGCACCAGAGTTTTGTACAGCTGCAACATGACCCCATGGCTCCGAAACTCAATCCCTCTACCAATAAAACCTAACACACCGTACGCCTTCAGTCTGAAATTTTCAGATTTCATTCGAAGAGTTATTTTACCTCTAGTTCATAGCACTCTATAATGATCACGCAACATAACTATACTGGCCTAGATAGATACCATCAGTGTTCACTGTCTTTACTCCTTGAGAAGTGACAACAACTTCTGGACTCTATTCATATGCAATTACATGCGGAAATCCAAAAGTCAGCGATTCCACTCTTCTACAGAAGATATACTGATCAGATATTCCTGTTTGTCATTTAGAAACCACTGAAGAAAAAAAAACCTTCTGTTCTTCTGTTCTTGGTATCAATGAAAAAAAACCCTTGAAAAAATTGCATTATGTTAAATGAGGCGTAATTGCATGTTTAACAAAGTACTAAGTGTGCAATTTCAAAGAACAGTCTCACTGGCTTTAAAAGTTTAATATTTTTTGAATGCTACATTTTTCCCTTATGCTAAGAAATTTCACATTTCTGGAACATTTATGATTTCTATTCACTTTTATGTTAATCCCGTGAGCATGTTTATTTTACAACCTGTAAAATTTAACTGTGAAAGAATTCAGTGGTCTTCCTAGTTTGCTGTTTATGAGAATACTTCAATATGATTGGCTGCTTACCCTCCTTGATGATATTACTGTTGTTGGAAGCCTGGTGCCAAGGATCTAGCCAGTATCAGGACGGGAGAAACATGTTCCACAGAGATCATTGGACATTTGTCGCAACTTTCTTCAAGGACAATGGTGAGCTGTGATGATTCATCATTGACTGAAAAATCCAGTCTATTATCTCCACAACATACCTTAGGTCAGGACCATACAACAACATAACTACAACGGCATTATCTATAATTAATAGCCATTCCCTTCCACCCAATACAGAAAGCAAACCATCTGGCGCAGTCCCCAAACCAATCTAGTAGGGTACATTACTACCAACCACATGTTGTGTTAAATTCTTACTTGAAAGGTCTCCAGTTTTTGTATTCAATCTGCGAACGTGCGAGACCTGCCGACCATCCAAAGCTTCCAGGAAATTTCCAGTCTCTAAAATAAAACAAGAGACAGGTATAAGCATCCAAGTCAGAGATAATAGGGACTGCAGATGCTGCAGTCAGAGGAACACAGCAGGCCAGGCAGCATCAGAGGAGCAGGAAAGTTGACCTTTCAGGCTGGGACCCTTCTTCAGAAAGGCCTTCTTCTGAAGAAGCGTCCCGACCCAAAACATCAACTGTCCTGCTCCTCGGATGCTGCCTGGCCTGCTGTGTTCCTCCAGCTTCACACTGTGTTATCTATAAACATCTAAGTGTCTCCCTTTTAAAATGGTAAGACTTTTTAAAGTTATTTTAATTAAATTAAATTACACTACATATTTATATAGCTTTCTCAAAACTACTACTTTTAAAACAACATCAGTACACCCCCTTGAAATTAAATGCAATTTTCTAAATAACTCGATATTGTCATTATTGAGATAATAAATGAGCTTAATGGCATTACCAGAATCACAATTTTAATTCCACAGCCATACACAACTGCCTGAAAAAGCTGCAAGGAAGGAAAGATTTTTATTTTTAGGAGAAAAATTGGCCTTGGATGAAACTGACTTCTATGCACTAATTGAGTTTCTGATGTGTGTTCAAGGCCTACCCATACTGTGGTGGATAATGAATTGAAGGCCAACAACACCCAAGTGTCACAGTACCCAATCCAAACATATGGTAAGCCTCAGGAATCTGATATGAACTAGCCCACTGGTTGCTTTAGAACATAGGCCCATTTTCAGCCAAATTTGGAACAATCCACCCAGTGGTCCTTAAATGAACTGCTGGAAGCCTACATGAGTGGGGGAAATATCTTTTCTATTTATACATATAATATATATAAAATCATCATGTGGAATCAGAAGAAGGTTCTCAACCATACTGACTGGCCTCTGCAAAACTGGGCTTGCCACCATCTCCTTTGCCTTGCCTCCCCTAGACCTTCCACTTTCTGCCCACGCCCCTCCCCACCCCATTCCCAATACATCCCCTCTGTTCAGCGGCAGTCAGTTCGGTGTCTAAGCTAACCAATTTTGCAACAAACTGCACCCCCCCCAAGATGGTCAGAAACACTCGGTCATCTAGTTGACACTTGTAGCTTGTTGACTTTATGAAAATTACACTTAAAGATCTAAACTGAAGCAGGTTTTAGGCTGTCCTTAATTATGCCTACCCAGAAGAGTAGTAGCAAGACTAATTCCTGGGAGAAAATACAGGGAGGATTATTATCAAGCACTTCACATATGAAGTTTCTCCTTCCATGAGTGTTGCCAAAATAAGTATGCTTGAAAGTGTTTTTTAAATATGAAACTTCAGCAAGCTGGATAAATGTTACCATAAATTTCACACCAGAAAACCCACAGGGTTCCAGGTGGTAAATTGGTGGTTGTGCCCTGCCCCAATACAGACTTCAATGGAATTTAAAAGCAGTGCTTCACTTGATCTCAACAGTTTCCTGAAGTAAAGGATTAAGTTAAAGTGGACTCCCAGATTACACCTCAGTCTGAAATAATCAAGATTGTGAAATAATGTTGTTAATATGGCATCATGGAATGGTAAAAGAAATCAAGTACATAAGGTCTACTCTTCAAAAGGTAAACAAATGCATATGTATTTATATATATATTTATATACATACATACATATAGATATACATATATATATGTGTATGTATGTATATAAATATATATATATAGGGGAAGGTAAAAGTATGTGAACAGTCAACATTGATTGCAGCACAACTATAAATACCTTTAACCTGGCTTGCAAATTGGAAGACTTGATACCAGAAGAGTTTGTCAATAAAATACTCTCAGCCAGCCCTGAATTAAGAGAATGCCAGAAAAATATCTCGGAACATACGTTACCTGTAAAAATGACTGGAATGTGACAAGTCACAATCACCAGCCTAGTAGACAATACTTTGATGGTGTGCCACAATGTACCCTTTCCAATAAAAACAAAAACAACATTAGCAAAAACAGGCATGCATCTGCCTCAGGGCTTGGAAAGCAGTGGAAGATACAGATATTGGGATAGAACTAGCTGGTAAGCTATTTGTCTCCTCACAAGCTCCCACAGCCATATGGGGAGCTCTGCTGTAACATCTGACCTTCCCATTTTTCTGCCGTCTGAAATTTCAATACAAGAGTGACCCAAACGACCCTCTTTGTTCTCATGATCTGTATGTAATACTGAGAATTTTGCATTGTCAGCATAAAGTTTCAACTTTGTTTCTCTATAATTCATGTGACACCGCACCTTTCTTTGGTCCTTCTGTGATTGTAATGTAGAAATTATGGCGATTTTGACTTGGCAATACCCAAAGGTTACTGGAATACTGTTGTGAACTTAATCTCAGAAATGGGACTAAAATGTGTAATTTTCCACTGAAACACTACACTGACAATCAGTATAGCTTTTACAAAAAGTGTTCTGTTAAATATTAAAGACCGCAATAAATGCAAATTCTCCTATCTTCTTTTATTATATCTTTTAGTTTTTTGTGTTTTTCTATTATTTGGGTATCAGTCGCTGTTTTTCTCAGATTGTACTTCACATTTTAATCTTGGAATTTAAACAGGTTTGAGCTACATATATATATGTATATTTATATATTTTATATAAAATAAATAAGAACTTGCATTTACATAGTGCCTTTAGCATAAACATGTCAAGGTACTTCATGGGGATTTAATCAGGCAAAACACCTTTAAAGCTGTTAGACTCTCTGGTCTGTCAAAGTTAGAATAGGCACCTTAACATACTTCCCTTGCTCCACTGACTGGACCAATCAATCAATTACCAATGAAATTCATCCATCACTAGGAGATGAGACTTTGTCATGCTTGTGGAATGGCTAATCCAGCTACCTTCTGGGAAATTAATCACCATTCTCCATCATTTAAAGAATTAAGAACCACTGGCAGCACAACATCCCAAAACAGGCAATCTTAGCATGAGACTCCAAACGAGGGGGTTGGATAGAAAGATGTCGGGGTTGAAAGAAATTAAATATTCAGTTGGGGGAGCTGCGGTCAGAGAAACATTTGAAAATTGTCATGAGGCTGTTATACTGGAGTTGCTAAAGACAAAATCAATTCAGAAAAAGTTTATTCTAAAGAAAATCACAACTCTCTGAAGCTAGGTATTTGAGCCCAAAAGCCCTGTAAACTATTCATTCAATACTGAAACAACACAGCTACAGAAGCACATCTGCAATTTATATTTAGTCTGAGTGAGACATCCAGCTGTGCATGTATGTAGAGTGTCTATGAACCATTCAGGTACCAGCTCTAAGTGGAACCATAGTGGAAGTGAAAAAAGGTGATTAAACAAGCTACTAGTTCACAGCTGACTGACCAAACACAGCCACTGTGCAGTTTCTACAACACTGACGTTCTATTTCTCGATCTGGTGCAGACAAGCTATTGCTGTACCAGCTCTTCACCTCAATGCTTCCACTTAACACAAACTAAGTTAGAGATTTTGTGCTTCATAATTAGCATCAATTATATGGCTCTGATACTGCTCCAAATTAAACCAAAGTGACATCTAGTAACAGTTACATTCCCATAAAACAATATTGTCTGTGTGGACCAAAAGATTTAGCAGCTGGTAATTCCTTTGTTGAGGGGATAGAGTTGCAGAGTAATAACCATTCGGCAGAAAAGTGCACAATCCCTGTCCTTTCATATTAATGGTGAGACATAGCTTGGAAATTATTGATCCTCATTATATCTTGTACGTAATACTGAGAATTTTGCATTGTCAGCATAAAGTTTCAACTTTGTTTCGCTATAATTCACGTGATAGTGCGCCTTTCTTTAATCCTTCTGTGATTGTAATGTAGAAATTGTGCCAAAAAGGGAAATTATGCTTGTTTTTAACAGACAATCTGTGTGAATGAGAGGCCCCTGTCATCTGCAGGTTTTCTGAACAGAACCAGACTTGAATCTTCTTCAGATAAATGGAAGAACCGTGATAATTGTGGACACAATTAAGTCCCCACAATACAGATGGTATTAAACACCATGCCTTATTTTCCCTTCATAATGCTGGAAGGTTTCTTTTGCAAATAAGAAAAGGAATTTTCTCAGATTATAAATACACTTTGTTCGTATAATGAAGGATGAGAATCATACTGCCACTTGATCACTCCTGTTCTTAAGAAGGTATTCAAGAGAAGTATACAGACTGTACATGTTTTCATGATGCAACTTAGCTAAGCTTTCTACTTATAGAGTTATAGAGATGTACAGCACAGAAACAGACCCTTTGGTCCAACCTGTCCTCACCGACCAGATATCCTAAATTGGTCCAGGACCATTTGCCAGCATTTGGTTCATATCCCTCTAAACCCTTCCTATTCATATATCCATCCAGATGCCTTTTAAATGTTATAATTTACCCACCTCCACCACTTCCTCTGGCAGCTCATTCGATGCATGCAGCACCTTCTGCATTAAAAAGTTGCCCCTCAGGTCCCTTTTAAATCTCTTCCCTCTCACCTTAAACCTATGCCCTCCAGTTTTGGTCTCCCCCACCCTGGGAAAAAGACCTTGGCTATACACCCCATCCGTGCCCCTCATAATTTTACAAATCTCTGTAAGGTTACCCCTCTGCCTCTGATGGTCCACGCAAAATTGCCCCAGCCTATTCAGCTTCTCCCTATAACTCAAACCTTCCAGTACCAGCAACATGCTTGTAAATCTTTTCTGAACCCTTTCAATTTTAACGACATCTTTCCTTTAGCAGGGAGACTTCTGGGCCTGACAAACTTATCAGGCAAAGCATCAGAACAGGAGGATCATTTAATTGAAGATCACCTCTTTGGCACTCTCATCCAGCTTCTAAGGATGCCCTTAGCATCACTCCACCATATCTAACATCAATAAAGCAATGACTAATTTCAAAACAAAAAAAAACAAAGAACAGTGGATTCTGGGAATCAGAAACAAAATCAAAAACTGCTGGGAAAACTCAGCAGGTGTGGCAGCGTCT